AACAGCTACGATGGATAATAAACAAACTTTTAAAAAAATGCCTTACTCAAGAAAGCATGTCACCATGGGAGCACCTGTACTTTTTGTACCTAAGAAAGATAGTGGACTTTGCTTTTGCATCGCCTATTGAGGTCTCAATAAGCAGATTGTTAAAAATGCATATCCACTTCTATATGTGGATGATCTTCTTGACCAACTTTGAAGTGCCACCATCTTTAGTAAATTAGATCTTTGGAGTAGTTATTAAAAAATACCTATTGCAAGAGAGGATGTAAAAAAGATAATATTTTGTATGTGCTATGGATATTTTAAATGGCTGGTTTTATCCTTTGATCTCACTAATGCTTTAGCCTCTTTTATAGGTTATATGAACAGATTGTTTCAAGACTTTTTGGAAAAGTATGTAGTCATCTTCATTGATGATATCCTCATACATAATAAAAATTCTAAAGAGCATGAACAACACCTACAAAAAGTGTTGGATCAGCTACAAGATAGTCGCTTCTATTACAAGTAATCAAAATGTGAACTTTAGAAGTCAAAAGTTACCTTTTGGGGGCATGTGGTGTCTTTCAAAGGCATGCGTATGGAATAAGATAAGGTGAAAGTAATGGAAGATTCGCCAACCTCCAAAGATGCTTTTGAAGTTTGCTTATTTTTAGGCCTTGTTGGATACTATTGCCATTTTGTTTGGCAATTTGCTCATATTGATGCATAATTGATAAATCTATTGGAGAAAGGTGCCCCATTTGAATGGAAATTGGAGCAGAAAAATGCTCTTGATAAGTTGAAAGAAGCACTCATTATTGCTCCAATATTGCAATAGTATGATTTTAATTTCTCTTATATGCTTAACATTGATGCTTCTGACTTTACTATTTGACTGATTCTTCAATAAAACTTTGGTACGGATCTTCAACTTGTGGCATATGAATCACACAAGCTCAAAAGAATAGAGTGCAATTACCCTACACTTGATCAAAAATAATTAGCGATTGTATATGCCACAAAGATGTGGCCACACTATTTAAAGGACATGATTTTGGACAAGTTTGAATCGTGATGTTTGAGCCTTTGTACACTCATGTGAGTCATGTGAATATAACAAAGTATACAATGCAATGTCATCTGGACTATTGCAACCAATTTTGTTACGTACGGCACGTTAAGAGCAGGTGATTATGGATCTTATTATGTACTTGCCACACATGCCTCATAATCGTATTTCAATTGTTGTCTTTGTAGATCAACTTTTGAAGCAACTTCACTTAACTATGGTGCATTTGGATATTGATGCTCTAATACTTGCACAAATCTTCTTTGATATTGTCTTTTGTCACTATGGATTACCTTTTGTCATCATTTCAGATTGGGATCTATGCTTCACAAGAAGTTTTTGACAAGTCTTGTTTAAGCTATTAGGTACACAACTTGCCATATCTATAACCTTCTATTTCCAAACAGATAGACAAATAAAGCATACAAATTGGACCTTAGAGGATATGTTGTGGATATTTGTGAGGATTCATCATAATGATTGAGATGAATACTTGACGCCCTTGGATTTTGCTTGTAATGATAGTATTCAAGTAAGTATCGATCATTCACTATTTTTCCTTAGTATCAATTAACATCCTATTATACTAGCAAGTTTCCATCATCTCATCAATACCAATAACCTGACAATGGAAAAATTTATACAACGGCTTACAATAACCTTACAAGAAGCACAACATCACTTCTTTATTGCACATAATCAACAAAAGTAGTATGCAGTTAACCATTGGTAACATAAGATCTTTTGGGAGGGTGATGAGGTATTACTCTTTAACACTAACTTCTGACTTGTTACATCAATCTAAATCCATAAACTAGCACCTTAGTGGCTCAGATCTTTTTGCATTTCTGTAGTGATTTTTGATGTCTCATATTGCCTCAAGCTTCTACCACATATTTGAGTCCATCCAATCTTTCATATTTTACAATTGAAGGAATTTTATACCAAGCCAAAGCGCTTTTCAGATCAATACCAACCACTAGTCCTAGAAATTGTAGTTGATGACTAACAAGAATATGAAGCGGACAACAATTTGAAGCATGGCTACCTTTGTTGTTGTAGTGGACATCCACAACTTCAATATAAAGTTCTTTGGAAAGGTTATCTCATTCATGATACAATGTGGGGACTTGCACACAACCTCATCCATTACTAAGAGACAATTTAGAGATACCATCGTGAAAAAAATGAGGACATTCTGCATTAATGGAAGAGGATTAATTATAATAAGATATAGAAAAGATAATTATATAGATGGTTAGAACCATGGAAGTTTTTAGAATTGAGGTTAGATTAGTAGACTAGGTAGGATCCACCATAGAACATTCTAAAAGAGTTTAGGGTAGTTATTTAGATGGAGTCCACAATAGAACCTTCTAGAAAAGGTTTAAGGCAGTTATCTAGGTGAAATCTACTACTCAAGAATATTCTAGAAAGTTGAGGATAGTAAGACAAGGTATAAATAAGATTGACCAAGGCCCTTTGGGTCATCTGATCAAATATGGCTTCAGATCTTTTTTCTTAATAAATTTTGGTTTGCATCTTTTTGTTCAATTTTGTTCTATTTTTGTCTACTCAATTATCTTTCATGTCCTATTCTTTGTAGTTTCATTCAGTTCTATTTTGGTCTATTTTATCTTATTTTGTGATGAGATTTTATGTTGATGTAGAATAAAAGAATCTTAGATTTTTCTAAGATAGCCTCATCTTGTTTTATTTGTAGTATCAATGATTCTTATAGGACATCAATCTCCATTGATATTGATTATTGTACCATAATATTAGATAGTAGTAAAAGATTTCATGCTATAAGTCATGCTCCATGAAATTTGAAATTTATAGCATTGACTTTCTCTGTAATCCTAATTGCCTCTTCAAATGTTTGTACTTTTTTTAGTTCCACCTCTTATTAGACTCCAAGTTTTAAACCTCATAGAAATTGATCCATCATCTCTACCTCTGAAACATTGCCAATTTCGAGATATATGGACTTGAATTGGGAGATATAATCTTACATCAACCTAGATTGTGTAAGATTTTTTAATTAATTACTTTTTATCTTCTCCTCATTGATGGACCGAAATTGATTCCTAAACTTGGTCTCAAATTCCTTCCAATTACAAAATCCACCTTGAGTTCCACAGCTTTGAACTCAATGTTACTACCAAATGGCTATCGCATCTTTTAAATAATTAGTTGCATACTTAATTCCTTCAGTGGTATTTGTCCCAGATAGTTGGATGTATTGTCACATGTTAAAGACCCATTGATATACATCTTCTTGCTTTGAAGTCCTAGAGTATGTACTAGACTTACTAAATTTCAGCCTAGTAGATGTCAACTCTTTTATTCTAAAGGCTTCTATTTGCCCTTATAAAATAGCTATCTAGCTTAAGACATGTTGTATTTGAGCCTCTATTTGAGATTGCTCTACCATATCTTCTATGCTGTAATTTCTCGCTAGACTTCACTTTTGTAATGCCTTCTCACATCTTGATTGACTTTTTAAGAGTGGCTTATAGTAGCCTCAATATAATATCAGATGTGACCACAACAACTAACTTTGAACTAAATGATGACTATCAATATACTACCAAAGAAAAATCTAACACTTGCTCTAATACCAATGAAATATGACTTGTGTATCTTAAGTGTCCAAGACCCTTCTAATGTATAAGAACATAAAATCTCATGATAAAGTAAGACAAATGGGCCAAAACAAAATTGAACATAACTAAACAGAATAAGACTCGAATGACAAAACTAAACAATTGAAATTAAAACAAAACAAAACAAAACACAACCAAAAGATGCAAATCCAAATTTTATTAAGAAAAAGGATTTGAAACCATACCTAACTAGATGCTCTTAAAGGCCCTAGCTAGTCCTATTTATACTTTGTTTTATTATCTTGGAATTTCTAAAATATTTTTAAATGATAGGCCCCACTTTAATAATCACCCTAAATTCCATCTAAAAGGTTATATGGTGGGCTTCACCTAAATAACTACCACAAGTCATTTCTAATAAGTTTTATGGTAGATCCTACCTAAATAATCGCCCTAAGCTCTTTCTAGAATGTTCTACGGTGGATCCTACATAGTCTACTAACCTAACCTCAATTTTAGAAACTTTCACAACTTCTCAAATATGGTTCCAACTATCTATTCATATGTGACAACAATACAATTATCTTATCAATATCATGTTACATTTGATGTACATGAAGTGCTTTGTTATACAATGAATTTAACTATGAATGAAAACTTAACTATGACATCTAAGGCTCTAGAACTAGTCTTTTCATCCAAGTATTGGAGGAATGATAATCATTTGTTAACTTCAAATGATCTAATATTGACCAATACAACTTATTGTTGGATTTTTATATTCAATACAATAAATAAATAAATATATATATATATATATACATGCAATAAACTAAAAAGTATTTTTTTATTATATAATTCTCATAACAGAAAAAGAAAAAAAAATTACACTTGAGAAAAAAATTGAAGTCATAAAAACGGAGAAGCATAACCCAAGACGACAACAAGAGGAGCAAAACAAAAATTGGATAGCAAAAGAATCATTCTCGCAAAGCCATGAGTAGTTCCCACTCCTCCTGCCGCCCAACGCCGCGATCTGCCGTGCCATGATGTGACGCGTAGTAACGCAGCGTGCCGGTCGCTGCCGCTGGGGGCAAGGAAGCAAGCAGGGGGTGATCCAACCAGCTGGCGGGGGTGAGTGAGAATACGCGTCGCGAGCCACCAATTTGGAGGGGGCGCTGATAACGAAGGAGCATTGAGCCATGAATCGCCGCAAAGGGCGAGAAGGGGAAACTCCGTCGCGGTATCGTCCGCCGGAACTAAGCTTTTCGTTTACACGCCCCACTCTGTTCTCGGCGCCATTGAATGTGCTCTCGTTGTGCAAGCCAGAAAGTTGTTGTGCGTGAGTCTGTGGGTTGAGCCCACATTCTGAGCTTCTCTCGGTTGCTGGGTCTCACTCCTTCTCTTAATCCTCCCTCTCCTCATCCTGGGCGATATCATCGACGGTTCACAGCAGCATCGACTATCCGGCGACGGACCTTTTCATCGCTTCACGATCGGTGCCATTGGAAACCCAAAGCCCCGCCAATTAGCAATCGGGAGCTTGGTGCGTTCGTCGCTATCTCCTCTGCTTTATGCGTCGCTTTTTGGTTCTGGGTTGGGAGGATTAGTTGGAGTTTTGCAGTTCAGTGCGTCTCTTTAGTTGCGCTGCGGTTTGGGTTGCGGCTGACCCTGAGGAAGGAGGTTTTTCGTGTATTGGGTAGAGCCTTGGGTTGAGTGAGGTTTTGTTGGGCTCTTAACGGCGATGGCTGCAGCTCCGGCTCTTCCGCAATACCATGGCCTCCGTGCTGCCTCGAAGAGCACGGTCCAAGCGCAACGTCCCTCACAGTTTCCCGCCTCATGTATGTCCTTTTCACCTACTTGATGTTTTGTGTTTGGTGCTGTTTCATTGTCATTCGCTGCCCTAGGATTGGTAGCCAGCGTTGAGACCGTAGCTTGTATTGTTTGTAATCGTTTGAGTTTGACTTGGTGACTAGATTTGTAGGGTTGAGGCGATTTAGTGTCACATTTCATTTCGGTTTGGTGGTGTGTTTGTTGGGATGGTGCAATAAGTTTAGACTTAATGTTTGTTGCGGCACTGAGGTCGTTATTATCAGCACTGTTGATTGTCGATCGGTTAGAGCGACTTTGTGTCAAAATGTGATGCCCGCATTCTGTAGAGAACTACTCAGAACCGTAGCTCTTGTTTATTGCTGAAGTTTTGTTAGAGGGATTAAGGCATTTATGATTACCTTTCCTCTTCGTTGCACAGCAAATGGGAATGTTGGAGCTTCCCGAGTGCGATGTTCGGCTCAGAGCGCTCCCAAGAGAGAAACGGACCCAAAGAAGAGGGTTGTAATCACTGGAATGGGCCTGGTGTCGGTCTTCGGGAATGATGTCAATACTTTCTACGACAAGCTTCTGGAGGGGACCAGCGGTATCGACATCATTGACAGATTCGATATATCCAAGTTCCCTACGAAATTTGCTGGACAGATAAGGGGGTTCAGTGCAAAAGGATACATCGATGGTAAGAACGATCGCCGCCTGGACGATAGTCTTCGGTATTGCCTAGTCAGTGGAAAAAGAGCGCTTGAAGACGCCGGCCTCGGTGGAGAAAACTTGAATCAGGTAAGTTCCAGAAACTGCGAAGCAACGTGACGCAATTCAAAGTCGGTTTTGAATATGTTCCTGTGTTGTTTGAAGTATATATTCGGTATTTAAGTTGAGAACCTCGAATATCGATTTTAAGTACATGTGCTCTACAAGTCTATTTGTTGGCCTCACAGCGTGTTTCGGTGACCAGGTAGATAAGCAAAAGGTGGGCGTTCTCGTGGGAACTGGCATGGGTGGGCTTACAGTATTCTCAGATGGTGTCCAAGCTTTGGTGGAAAAGGGCCATAAGAGGATCACACCATTCTTCATACCTTACGCGATTACGAATATGGGATCTGCTCTTCTCGCCATCGACCTTGGTCTGATGGGTCCCAACTACTCGATCTCAACTGCTTGTGCCACCTCCAACTACTGTTTCTACGCAGCCGCCAACCACATTCGGAGAGGGGAGGCTGATATGATGATCGCTGGAGGCACAGAGGCAGCCATTCTTCCGATTGGGTTGGGTGGTTTTGTGGCTTGCAGGGCTTTGTCGACGAGGAACGACAGCCCGCAAACCGCTTCCAGGCCTTGGGACAAGGAACGAGAGGGGTTCGTGATGGGCGAGGGTGCTGGTGTATTGGTATGCTTGATCGATCATGTTTATATCTTGGTTGGGATGGTTACGACATTGTGTTTCAAATCGTTGGAGGAAAGCAATGTATGGAATTGAAAGAGTGTTTATATGGTTGGCCGCATTCGTTTGTAGGTTATGGAGAGCCTGGAGCATGCCTTGAAGCGAGGCGCACCAATTGTAGCGGAGTATCTGGGAGGTGCAGTGACGTGTGACGCATACCATATGACAGATCCCCGCGCCGACGGGTTGGGTGTTTCCACGTGTATTGAGAAGAGTTTGGCAGATGCAGGAGTCGCCACTGAGGAGGTATTTCTCTGTTCACTCAGGAGTAAGGCATTCTCAATATTGAATGCAACAGCGTCCGCTTGCTAAGCTTGATGACCTTCTTCGTTGCACCTTTAAACAGATGTTATTGTATTACCAAGTTGTGTCCTGGTAGGATAGTGTTGGGTTTTGTTGTTTTATGCAATATATTATTATCGCTCTGCATTGAATTGCGTGATGGTGAATTTACAGGTTAACTACATTAATGCGCATGCTACATCTACAGTCGTGGGTGATTTAGCGGAAGTGAACGCCATTAAGAAGGTCTTCAAAAACACATCAGAGATTAAAATGAACGCAACAAAGGTGATTGATCTATTTAAGCCCCGAGAGTATATATTAATTTTACCGTGTTTGTGTGTCTGCTTTGGACGTTGAAGCAGTGCATTTGTTGTATTAATGACATGTAGATTGTGTTTCAAAGTTCGTCCAAGCTTGTGTCACCTGATTTTAATGTGATTTGGATGGTTTGCCGAGTTGACTCAGTCCATGATTGGGCACTGCCTTGGAGCTGCTGGAGGTTTAGAGGCGATTGCTACGATCAAAGCTATTGAAACCGGATGGTTGCATCCATCAATTAATCAATTCGTAAGTGCGGTGTTTTGTAATTTCAATCCATTTGGTTTTCCTTAACACTGTTTGCAAATTATATTTTCTTTTCTTCGAAGTATTTTTGACCCAGTGCTAAGACAGTTGTTTATGTGAATTGGCTGTGTGGAACGGGCAAGAAGCTCAAACAACATTTAGAAAAACTCCTTCATCGTACTCTTTTAGACTTGTGAATAGAGGGTGACTTTAGCTCTTCGGCTAGATCCTTATATTAAGCCATCGCTGAAGATTCTGACTATTTTTGTTTAATGAGTTGAATACTGTTATCATTGTTTTCAAGATGCTTCTTCTGTTAGCCTCGGTTGTAGAACCATAATGCCTGAACTTACATCTCGAGTAATTGGCTTCATTGTTCGTCATTAGGTGGTAGAACTTTATTTAACTGAAGTCAAATATACGTGTCATTTTATCCAACATTCTACTAGTCAATAGCTTATTCGTGGACAAGTTTCAGTGGATTTCTTGTTTTAGCAGCAATTTGCAAGTTATTGATTGCTATTGGCTGTTGCAGAATCCTGAGGAGTCGGTGACATTTGACACTGTGCCCAATGTCAAAAAGCAGCATGAAGTAAATGTTGGTGAGTCTTATTGATTCCTCAGAGCGTTTGTTGCACGGAACAGTTCTTCTTTTTAATACTGCAAGGTACTGCAATTGTGGCCGTAGTTTTGTTTAGGCAGACATCGTCACAGTGTATCTCTGTTTAGGCAGATTACAGTTGAGCTCAATTAATTGTTGCGCGTACCCGTATTGTTTACTTTCTAATATATCCACACTGTGATATGCAGCTATCTCAAACTCATTTGGGTTCGGTGGACACAATTCCTGCGTTGTTTTCGCTCCTTACAGGCCTTGAAGAAGCGCACTAAAGATTCCTGTTATTTTCACACGATTTTTTCTGTTCGGTAGGGTAGAATTTGGAAACAGCGGTGACTGCTAGGTTCATTCATGTCGTCAAAAGGTACAAAAGGAGTGTGAAGGACATCAAGAAAAGGTCGCATTTTAATTCAAGGTCTCTGAAGTTGATTCTGATGTCTTATGGCCAATTCATACCACGATGTTCGTAGATTGAAATTTGAAAGTAAATTGGTTCGAGTAGTGTTGGTTGTATTCGTGCAGCGGATGTTACACCTTTTTTATGTGCATTTGGATATTGTCCTTGAGTGCGCCGAGAAGTAGTCCAAGTTGTCATTTTTACCAATTGTCTCAGCTTAATCTTTTTTCTGTGCATGTTAAATGATCTGTTATATTCTGTAATTGTATTACAATCGAAAGGCATGTCTACATTATTTAGATATGATATGATCTATTCCTTTGACCTGACCCTGACTTTTCAGTGCTGAAATTTTTGAAGATGCAGTTTTGTGTTCTGAACATGTGAATGAAAGTCAAGTGCTGCCTTGTTTGAGTTTGTGTGCCGGATTCATATAATTTATCACCTGTGTTGTACGAGCTCAATTTCTTGTCTAGTTTATCTGATTGTGTACTAGTTGGGGGAATCCCCGACAGGAATCCCAGTTCAGGAAGTGATTGGGATCCACTTTCCACGTGAAAATCGAGCTTTTCACACTACATACTTTATTCAAGAAGTAACTGGGATCCTGGCAACCAAGTTTTAGGCAGATAATCTTGTTTTCCATTGTATAATAACTGCTTGTTGTGTGGGCTTATCAAAAATAAATCATTAATTAACTTTTGTGATAATTTTCAAGTGAAATACTTGAAGTGAGACGGAATTGAATAATTTTGAAAGGATAAAACTTTTTATAATTATCTCACTTTCTATGACAATGTAAATTTTTTGTGGGTTATCTGTACATGAGGCCCATATCTTGTTTTTAGAGTTGCATTTTAATGGTTTCAAATATATACCAAGATGTGACTTTGTAAATATAACAATGTTAAAAGCCCACATTTATACTCAACCAAAAAGTTAAAAACTATCCCTAAGGAGTAGAAGTTTTACAGCAATGATTCGTCCAAATATGTGTTATAATATCTGAAGTTTGTTTGTTTTTTTTTTTTTTTTTGTTTTTTATTACTTGAAATATGAACAAGGATATCCATTTGCACAGTACATTGTACATTTATTAAGAAAGCAGACAATTACATTGCTTCTAAAGTCTTAATGTCTCTCTTTGAAGCCAAACTTTGAGCACTAATATTAAATGGTATACTTGCCAGTATGAGAATAATAGGGGTTGAGCAATGTATGAAAGTTTACTTTGTTGAAAAACACATTAAACTTTCATTTAATGATAAGTTTGTTTTCTTCTCTACATCCTACAATTTTATTTTCAATCTATAACTTATCTTATTTTTGGAAGAAACTAGCAATTTAATCTTATTTTTTATTTTTTATTTTTTACAATAGACTTAACTGATTTTTTATTTTTTATTTTTTGCAAGACTTGACTTTAATATTATGCAATTTGTACTTTAAGCAATGAGCTAAGTCATCTCTATCTTGCTAAGGATGGAGCCAGATGGTACTAATGGCATCGGAATACAAGAATCTGGAGAGAATGTAACTATGTATAATCACCTACCTTAGCCATTCAATCCTTTGGACCTCAATTTGTCACAAATACATTATACGAGACACCAAAGAAGAAGTTGAACAAAAGAACTTTAACAAGAGAGCTAATAAGAACTTGATTTAATGAGATGAGTATAAGATCAAGACAAAGAGAGGTGAGCTAGAGCTTTAAGAGATGTATTGTCAAGATTGAGGATCTCCTTAGCCTTGATTTTAATATATATTAGGTGTTAAGAAGCTCTTCAAGAAGTTCCTATATTACTTAAAGATGAAGCAATCTTAAAAAAATTCTTAAGAAGTTTCCATGTTGCTTGAAGATGAAGCAACCTTAAGAAGCTTCTTAAGAAGTTCTCATATTGCTTAAAGGTGAAGCAACCTTAAGAAGATTCTTATACAACTTTCTTAATTCTCCTAGAACTTTTTAAAATCTATTAGAATATTTTAAGAACCTTCTAAAATGTTTTAAAATCCTCTATTATAATATTTTTAAAAACTTTAGAATTTAATATAATATTCTAAGAATATTTTTAAAAACTTTAGAATTTAATATAATATTCTAAGAATATTCTTAAAATCTTTCTTGTTGGATGTCTATAACATCATCTACCTCTTTAATTTTGAGTTCTATGAGGAGCATTGGATCTATATTTATTTTCTTTATTATATACAACATCCTAACAATAGCTTTATAGAGAAGTCATTTTAAAATAGATTTAGATTTTTGAGGATAGCGTTGATCAAACTATTGTACCTTTTGTGGCAAATTAACTAGATTTTTTGTTGGTTCCTATATATGTTCATTGATATTGTAACTATGCCAATGAATAAAATATTCCAACTTGCTTCTTCTTTATCCAAAATCAAGGATCTTTTCTATTTCATATTCCACATGATTATCTATTTCAATGTAAGTTAGTGATGGTTATATTCTTCCTGGAATAGTTGATTCTATATATGCTTATAAGAGAGAAACATGAAAGACTAGATGTAACTTTATAGATATGGGTAGTTCCAACCAATAAGCTATTAGATTGATTTACTTTTGAATACAAAATGGTCCCAATTTTTGGTAGTTCAATTATCGCATGGTTAATTGGTCTTGATATTTTGTTGAAAAAGCCATATTTTATCTCCAACTTAAAAAGTAAGATATTCTTTTTAATTTTTTTTTTTGATGATACTTTGTAAGAATCTTGTAAATGGAACTTCAAAGTTGTGTGGAGCTATGACAATTATTTTGTAAGATCTTCAACTATTGAATTTTTATCCTTCGATGTATTTAATAAATTAAGCTTTGGGTGATAACCATAATTGGCATGAAATGGTATTTGTTGAGATAAAGCGTAAAGAATATTATTATAAGCAAACTTTGCTAAGGATAAATATAAGGTCCAATCAACTTATTGATAATTGATGGTATATCACAAATACTATTCCAAAACTTGATTGACTCATTCTATTTGACCATCAATTTGAAGGCGGAAGGTAGAGGAATGTTTGATATCCACCTTCAATATCTCAAAAAAAGATTTTCAAAAATTTGATATAAATTGAGGTCATCAATTTAAAATGATGTCATTAGGTAGGCCACAATATCAATATATATTATCAAGAAAGAGCCTTGCCATTTCTTCTTCAAAAATTATCTTTTTGAATGAAAAAGAAATGTATCATCTTTGTAAGTCAATCTACAATAAAGTAGATAGCATTAAATGTAGCTAATAGTAGAAAATTAGTGATAAAATCCATTGATACTAATAACCATGGTTGCTTTAGAGTTGGTAGTACCTATAAAAGTTCATAAGGACAATATTGAGAATTCTTGGATCTTGAAGAGATGTCATACAAGAAAATGAAGTCCTTCACAATGTTATATTACAAGTATTCTTGCTTGAAAATACACCAAGTACTTAGATGTGGAAGTTAAGTAGAAATGCAACAACAATCTTACTAAGTCTAATATAGTCTTAAATAAACTTTAAATAATTCTTAATAATCCTAATTAAATTTTAATCAATAAAAAAAATATTTAAAAAAAAATTACAAAAAAAACACAAAAAAGTTACAAATTAATTCTAAAGAAAAATAAAATAGAAGTCTTGAAGAAATGTAAAAATAAACCTTTAAAGAAATATTAGAAATATATATTTTTTTTTAAAAAAAAATCTTTTAAAATATTAAAAATAAAAATCTAAATAAATCATAAATAAATCTCAATAAAATTCTATTTTAATTTTAATTAAAAACCTAATGAATCTTTATTAAATTTTAAATAAAATTTTAATTAAATTCTAATAAATTAATTATGAAATCCTAATAAAATCTTAATAAAATTCTAATCTTAATAAATCCTACAATAAATCAAAAATTAAATAACAAATCATTGAACCATTGATTTTGATTCAAATTTTTTAGACCTTGCAACAACTAAGTTAGCAACAAGTAAAAAAAATTTGAAGAAGATTGTATATACTAAATAGACAATAGTCTCAAAATTCTGTTCAAAGATCAATCAGCCTCCTTCTCTAACATTGATATTAATATTTCCAAGCCAAGATTTCTTAATTTTATCATTTAATTCTTTCAAAATTTTCAAAATTTTTGGAAATCAAGCTATCTACCTTTGAAAAAAATTACATTTTAATCCAATTGGAAAATTAACAGATATCTTAAAAATTCTCATAGGTCCTCTAAACTCCAATTTTTGAAACCATAACCTACAAAAAATTTCATATGCTTCAATCTAATTGCTTGATTGATTTCACATTTTTTATACATATTAAAAACAATCATAAAGACAAATTTCCAAATTCTTATCTATAAATAGACTACAAAATTCACAAAATCTTAAAATTTGTAATTTTTTTTTTTTTTTTTTTTTTTTTTTTTTTAAATCTAAATCTACCAAGTACATCAATAATTTTAAAAATCTCTCAAAATCCAAATATTAATCTAAATGACATAAAATTAATATTAAAAAATCTCTCTTCAAGTTTGATTTCAAATTCCACTCTCAAATTTGTAAAAGAACCTTGGAATTACTATAGGTATATAGTTTTGTGTCTTTGGCTCTGATTTTGACCTTAGTTGACAATTGGTCTTCTTTAGGTATCAATTTTTAATAATTTGAAATGAATTTTTTTAATCTATTGTTAAATTTTTTTAAACATGCTCATATCAATTTTTTATCTTATTTACTTTGATTTGGTTCATTTATGTCTCAACAAAGTAAATAGAAGTCCTTTATACAAAAGATAATATAAAGACTAAATTTTTATTACTTTTTTATAATTTATCATTATTTTTCTATTATATCTTTCTACTAGGCTCTTCTATAATAACATCCATATTTTTATTTTTCACCACATAGTTGTGTTACTACATGACAATGGTCTTCCACATTTGAAGCTATTAGAAATCTCAAGAAATAAACTCTAATGTTTTGTTAAATCAAAAATGTCTTGCAGCTCAGAAATTATGATAAGATTGAAGAATACAAAGTTCTACAAGTCCTTTTGGAATATATAAATGATCTTTAAAATACAAAATATCTTCTATAAATTTAAATTTCTTGTTGTTAGAATATTTTTTGGTATTACAAAGTAATGAGTCTTTAATTGACAATGTTTAAATTTATTTTAAAAAAATTAAATCAATAGGTAT